TTTGTTTTTATATAAGTTACCACGGATGCTTTCATTGTCTTTCATTCACCACCAGCAATCTGGATGGAAACGAGGCCTGGGAATGGAAGAGGACAAAGCAGTGGAATAGGTGAAGACAGTCACTGCTGGCCGGGGACTCTGAGAGCACTAAGCCAGCAGGGAGAGCACCGACTGGGGAAGAGGGTGGCAGCTTTGCTTGCCCAGAGTGCCAATCTTCTCTCGGTTCCCGTTCGGGGATATTCTTGGGGCGACTCCCCATCTCAGTTCTGAAAGAAGATGTTGACGACGACGGTATAATCAAAGTTGCACTTGTTTTTTTTTTAAAATGCATTTTACCACAGGCTGTACATTAAAAAACCAGGTCACGTTTTAATCCTGCCATCCTGGCCGTCTTCTCAAGCTTTCCGACCAGCCCCTTGTGGACACCCTTGAGCGTCTGCAAGTGTTTTGATCTCAAAAGTAAACAAGGTGACCCTGGAGGATGGCCAGCACCACCTCAACTTGCCTTTCCACATTGCAGCCGAGTTGAGGTCACCACCTCCACATTCCTCCCTTCTGGTCTGACCAGATGGACAGGAGGCCTGTGGCATCAGAGTCAGCTTCCTGTGGCCTACAAACGCCAACGGCCACTGTGGCAAAGGAGCACATTCCTGCTTCCCAGAGGAAATGCCATCACCCAGGGTTTCACTCCAGAGCTCACGGGCTCTGCTCAAACGATTTGCCCCAGGCACAGGGAGGATATGACCACACCTGCTTTGCACCAATAGGATGCCAGTGAATGTTCTCTGCCAACATGGCTCACTGGGGAATTCTGGGAGTTGAAGTCCACAAGTCTTAAAGTTGCCAAGGTTGAGAAACTGATAGAAGCTTGGCAGAGATGAAAGGCGATTGGTCATTTTTTCAGCTAGTTCCACCACAAAACCGCGGTAGACTAAAGCGCGTGTGATTAAAGCGCGGTGACAAAACCGCACCGTCAAAACTGCGTGACAACAGCGCGACAACAGAAGCGTGCTGTAACATAACCCTAAACCTAACGCTAAACCTAACCCTAAACCTTACCTTAAGTTAAATCGCGCTTCTGTCAGCGCGCTGTTATTGGCGCGTTGTTGTCAGCACGCTTTTGACATCGCGGTTTTAGTGCTGCGGTGTTGTCGGCACGCTTTTGACGTTCGCGGTTATGTCATGCCACGTTTCAGCCAAGGAGCATGAAAAGAGATAATTTGATCAATTATTTGGGGGTTTTTCAAGCCTTCTCCCACTTTTAATATTCTGTCAGTCACATTTTCCCATCAGTTCAATGACCTGTTCAACAAGCATAGCTGGCTGGGGAATTCTGGGAGTTGAAGTCCACAAGTCTCAAAAGTGCCAAGTTTGGGGACTTCTGGGGTAATCAGGAAAAGGACCCCGCGGGGTTCCAAAACTTCAGCGCTGATAGAGGAAGCCCACCCGAGTGGAGGAGGCCGGGCTGTCTGGAGAGGCAGCAAAGAGTCTCCTTTCCACCCCAGGCGGGGCCAGCCGAGCCAAGGTCCGGCAGACGAGTCAGCCCCACCGACGGCCGTAGACGCCCCCCCCGACTTGACCCCCCCCTGGGCGCCAGCCAGCCAGCCCCACGCCGAGGGTGGCAGGAGGAGCTCCGCTGCGGCGCCCCGGCCATCCGGGGCCGCTCGGCACTCGCGCCTTCCGCCGCCGCTCTACCCAAGAACCGCACTGGCCGCCTGCGGCCAAGGCGCTCGAAGCGAATCGGCAGCCGGGACTGCTCTCCGACTGGCGCCGGCCGTTTTGGCCGGGCTGAAAATGGGGCTCGGAGAGCGCCGGGGCTCCTTTGCCCACAGCCGCCTCGCCGCCCCGGTTTTGGAGACCGAGGCGCCGCCGACGAGCCTTGCTCCGCTTGGCGGCCGCGAACTTCGGCAAGGAGCGCCCGAGCCGCTGTCGGCGAAAGCCCGTCGGCGGAGCCAAGGAAGCGGCGACGCCCGCTGCCGCCCGCCCCCGGGAGCCCAGGCAAGGGCCGGCGGAGCAGCGCGCTCGCCTCCCCTGCCGCCCGCCCGCCCCGCCCTCCCAGGTGAGCCGCGCCCTGCCCTGCCCGCTGCTGCCGCCGCCGCCGCCGCCG